CCCCATGAACAGTGGGCGCGATTGAGTACTGCGTCGACGTCCAAGAGATCAGGCAGAGAAGCGCAGCGCTTCCGAAACCGAGCGCGGAGGGGCCGGCTGACCACGAGGCGCGGGGTCGCGTGACTGCGAGGGCCGACCTCGTTTGCAGTGGGTCAGGCCACCCCGGCCGGATCCGAAAACGGAGCAACCGCCGCCGCTTATTAGGGTTGATGTTAGAAGGCGCTCATCCGCGACGCGGCGATGGCGCGCGCCACCGCGATTTCCAGGACTGCCGGGGGGGGGGCCCAGCAGTCGCCCACCCCCCAGAGCACATGAACATCTGCGGGAGATGGACCTGACAACTTGCTCATTTTGCCTCGCGCCCCGATGCGTCTTGGCACGCGTGGCGCTCCAGGAGCTTCCGCGGCGGCGGATTCTGCCGATGGCGCCGCGGCTGCCGCGCCGCCGAGGGCGCCGCCGACGCTTCCGCTGCTACCCGCGCCAAGGGCAACCTAGAATTTCCCACGCGCGGATTACGGGGGGGCGCGCGCTCCAGCCGCGCCGCCGCGGCGCTCGATCACGCCGCCGAGGCGCGCCCCGAACCCCAGCGACATGATCGGGCGAACGCAGTGCGGCGCCCAATATTGGGGCGTGACCTGGAACAGGTGGATATACATCGACCATCGGTACGGTGATTATTGCAGGGCATCCATGGGCCCGCTGTCAAATTGCATCGCTATTAAAACGATTCCAGGGGATATGGGCCAGACGACCCTCATTGAAATTATGTTGTTCCGTGCTGTTCTGTGAACTTGGTGCGTGAATGTGGCTCAACGCACAAGTGTTGCCCGCTTGTTGGTGCAGCATTGAGTTTGGGGTTCACTGCTGATTGAGACACAACCACAATGTAGTCCCAGGGGTACTGAGAGAGAGTTGGCGTACGGATCGAAGTACTTTGGTATATGAGTTGTAAAGCCCCATGACATAAATATGTGTGCTGTACCAGCGCGGTCAACATCACTTCGTCATGCATGACGCGTGGCAGCATTGGGAACCACCAGAGAGACTGGGATGCTCTGCAAGCCGCATAACTAGTGAACAATGATGCATCACCCCTTGAATTCAACTGTCAGAGTGAGTAAATGAACCACCACAGTGCTCTCTTCGACATTTAGAGGCGCGCATTTGGCACGCCTTTCGCGTTCACTTTTTCGCAACACACCCAGAAGATAACGCATCGGGCATGGGGGAAACCAGTCCGCTTCATCGCGCCGCTAAGGGCACTGCAGATGTTCCAGATCCCCCATTGCCTCGCCTTTACATCGTGTTACATGCAATCCGACGTTGCAGCGTGCTTCTGTCCGCGCGACTCGGGTTTGACGAACGACGCGATCTCGCATGCATGTCTTGCGTTTTAATAGCGAAGTCTCAGCGCCAGCGCGGTCTTCGCCGCTGCAGCAGGAGTCGGGGCCAACTCGGACGGCTCGCGCAGCGAAGCTCTGCGGGGTCTGCGCGCCCCGAGAAGGTGCCCCGAAGGCTGGCGCGCCCTGGCCGCGCTGGCGCAGAGTTCACGCGCGCGCCGGCCTCCCGCCGCCTGGCGCGAGTTTGCGACCGGCGAGATCGACCGCCCGCGCGCGTTTTTCAAATCCTTTGCTCCACCGGCATCGGGGAGGAGGCGGAGCAGGAAGGGGAGGAGGAGGAGCAGCGGGTGCTTTGCTCCGCCCCCGCTGGCGCTTGAACGCGTTCACGGGGCGGGCGCTGCGCGACAATGGGCGGGCAGCAGGGCGGGCTGCAGTGAGGTTAGGACTGGGGGTCATCTCCTTCGCCCCCGAACCCTGTCTGGGTTGGGTTTTGGGGTGGCGGGTGCGAGTGGTTCTCGGGCCTCCCATATTCTTCGGCGGGCCTCTGCCCCTTTCGGCTCGCAGGCATTTACGCGCGCGTGATTGACGGGCGCATTGCGGAGCATTTATCAGAGCGTGAATTACCTACCCCGCTTTCGCTTCCAAGCAAAACCAAGCCATACCACGCGCCTTATCGTCAAGCGGCCTGACCAGTACAGGCTGCAATTTGGCATCGTTTGGTATCTCTTGGAAGCGAGGGTGGTCAAAAGCGAGGTAGGTTTGTTTTCCCCCTAATTTAATAATTCCATCATCGTTCATTTATTGCGATCGTCTTTGCCAGCGGACGCCCGGGAGGGGTTGGGCCCTGCGGCCAACCTTTCTTTCGCGCGCATCGAGGCCGCCCGCGCGGCCGGCGACGCGGCTGGCCGCGGGGCGCGCTGGGGGATCTCCGCGGCGCTCGATGCTTTTCTTCCCGCGCGGGCGGGCCGCGGCCCGTCAGGCCTCTCGCGCCGCGCGCGCGATTCTTGGCCGAATTGCTCGGGCGTCTCCAACGACAGCGCGACCCTTTAAACGCGCCGGGGATCTCAGGCCGACTCGCTGTCGATGCCCGACGGATTCCATGAGAATTCGAGTGGCCCCCAGTTGTCTGAGGCGACATTTTCATCCCCAGGTGCTCCACATCAATGTTTCAATGCGCAACGCATCCCGGGCGCCCGAGGATTTCCCCCGGCCCCGAAACGCACGGAACGCGCGCCTGTCGCCCAACAAACTCACCTGATGCACAACATGTGGGCTCCAGTTGGCACGGGGCCGGCGTCGTCCTTCATGTGTTCACCTCGATTTCTATTCATCAGGAATTGGGGCCGACTAGTATGGGATATTATCGGGTTTGCCTGGGGATTTCCCTTGGCCTGTAAACAATGAAAGGAATGGAGCAGCTTTCAACCCCAGAGGATTAACTCGGTTCCGCGATCGATCTCCGGCGGGGCCGAATACGTTCCAAAGGAATATGTGTAAACCCTAGAGAACCCAGGGGCATCCTGCAATTCGAATGAGAACGCTTTATCGATGCTGTTATTTAGGTTTGCTGTGCGCATGCGTCTCCACTCTCCAGTGTCACTCGGTTGGCGGTGCAGCATCCATTTTGGCGTTCATGGTTGAATGGCTCCGCGACCATATGGTGGCCCCCAGAAACACTGGCAGATATTCGACATATGGACCAACATATTTCTGGCATGAGCTGCAACGCTTTATCACATAACGCACCTTGCTGTGCTAGCGCTGTAAATATCACTTCGTCATATGTGACGCGTGGGAACGTAGACAACCACCAGAGATACTGGGATGCCCTGTAAGCTGCATCATGATTGATCAGTGTTGCGCGACCTCTTGAATGTAACGGTCAAAGTTAGTGCAAGAAATATCGCAGTGCTTCCTTCGACAGTTGAGGGCCCGCGTTTGATGCGCCTTCGATGCGGACTTCTATCGTTCCCTCAGAAGATAACGCATGATGCATGGGGCAGTCCAGCCCGATTCATCGCGCCGCTGAGGCACTGAAGATCTCCAATCATTTCCATGGCCACGCGTCCGCAAAGTATGAATGGCAAGTCGGCACTGCATTTTGATACTATCCGCCCGACTCTGGTTTGCCGAACGACGCGATCCCCCATGCATGCCTTGCGCTGCAATGGCGAGGGCGCAGCGCCAGCGCGGTCTTGATCGCAGCAGCAGGAGCTTGGACTAACTCGGGCGGCTCGCGCAGTGAAGCCTTGCGGGGTTTGCGCGCCCTGACGAGGCGCCCTGAAGGCTCGCGCGCCCTGGCCACGCTGGCGCAAAGTTCAGGCGCGCGCCAGCCTTGCGCACGCTTGACTCGAATTTGCGAGCGACGAGATCGACTGCCCGCACGCCTTCTTCTGATCCTTTACCCCACCTTGCCTTTCTTGCCCCTTCCTCCCCCGCAAGCGCTTGAGCGCGTCTTTGTGGCTTGCGCTGCGGATGGGCCGGGAGGCGTCGTGAGAGGTAGTAATTTCTCACCTTGCCGTCTGGGGTTTTACAGAGCGGATGACAGTCAGGTCCGGACTGGGGATCATCTGATTCGCCCCCGAACCCCGCTTCCTGCGTTTCGCTTTGCGTCTCTGGGAATCTCCGAGGCGATCGATGCTTGATTCTACGCGGGCACCTAGCCCACTGTCAGGCCGCTCGCGCCGCGCGCTCGCGAGTCCCGGCTAAAATGTTTTGGGCGTCTCGAGCGAGAGCGCGACCAGTAATAGTTATGCCAGGAGTATCAGGCCGATGTGTTGTTAGCACCCAGCGAACCTCGTGGCAATCCGAGTATCTCCCAGCTGTCCAAGGCGACCATTTGATCCCCTTATTGCTCCACATCAATGTTACAAGGATAACCCCAGCGCAACAGATCCTAGGCGTTTGAGGATTCCCCCTGGTCACTGGTCCCAACTGGCACGAATGCATTACGTGTGGGCCCCAGTTGGCATGGAGCTGGCACCATCCACCCTAAGAGTTCACCGGGTTTTCTACGCATCAAAAGCAGTGGCCGAATAGTATTGGATCATCTATCATATGTCTGAGGATTCCCGATGGCCCGTAAATAATTCAGATCCAGATCCCGCTAGGGCAAGATAATTCCAACCCCGGGAGGATTAATCCAGTTCCGGGAGTGAATTTTTGGTGTGGCCGAAGACGTTCCAAATAATTTGTTGCAAATCCACAAAAACCCGGGGGCATCTTGCAAGATTCTTGAGAACGCATGAACAGTCGGAAGGGGCCACCCACCATCGTGATCACACGAATTTTGTGCAACCGAAGAAGATGCGAAAGAGTGTTCCGAAGGCGCCCAGGGACATCCTCTTGCCTCTTGGAAACATCAGCAATCAACCGGGCGTCATAAAAATCCAGAAGGGTATTGGGGAACCGTATGGTTTTTTTCCACGAGTCTGGAGGAATATTTGGGAATCTTGTTGAACAGTGCGTCATCTTATGGAGTTTTGAAAATTCCCCCAGATTCCTGAAGTATATTGAAGAATTCTGCAGGGACCCAAGGTTCCCCGAGGACGCTTGAGGAATTCCGAGGAACCTCAAGAAGCTTTACTTTTATCAACCCGCTTCATTCCATAACGCGCTTTAGTGTTCCCCGTTCCGTTTCATCCCTCCCCATTCGTCGAGGCCGCCGAACCGGAGGAGTTTGTTGTGCCCGAGGGGGGCTTCGAGGATTTGGCCATCGCGCACAACTGCTACAACTGCCAGGAGGTCGAGAAGGCGGGGCGCGTTGCGGGGCCAGCGCGCGGCGAGCGGAACGATCGCTCGCGCCATTGCGACGCGGCGTGGGAGTCGACAACACGTAAGAGTGACCTTCGGCCCGGGTGACTTTTGATGCGGGCCCAGTGGGGTCCCCCGGTCGCCTAACGCGAGGCAGCATTGGCGTCTTGCGCGCTTGTGGTTGGCTCTTCCGCGGCCCCCAAAAAACATCACACCAAAGGTCACTCTTATCGACGGTCACTCTTGCGTGTAGCCGAGGGAGGGAAAGCGTGAGAGAGGCGGGGGGACAGGAAGAGATGGCGAGAAAGAGGGGGCTGGGTATCGAGCAGCGTACGCTGATTGAGGGTTCGCCAGCCCCGCGGGTGTTTCCTGGCTCGACGGGATGCCCGGAGCATGTTGAGGGTGTTGGGGCCCCGGCACAGGAATAAAGGAGCAGAGAAAGAGAGAGAGAGAGAGAAAAAGGGCGAGTGGATTCGCCGATGGAGGAGGAGGAGGAGGAAGAGGCAACAGAGGACGAGCAGGCGGAGAACGAGGATGAGGAGGAAGATGCCGATGAGGGTGAGGATCAGAACAAGGAGGAAGAGCAAGGACAGGACGAATAGGAGCAACAGCTTGGAAATATGTATACGTAGGAGGAAGAGGACGAGAAGTGGCGACCCTTCCCGCCGGTGCCTCGGCTGCTGGAGGCCACCTGTTCGCTGGTGCGGCGAGACTCCAGGAGCGATGGCGGGGGGGTGGGAAACAGCAGTGGCCGCCACCGCCGCATCAGGATGAGGAGGGGGAGGCGGAGCTGCAGCCTCAGCGGCGGCAGTGGAGGAGGAGGAGGAGGAGGAGAAGGAGGTGGAGGAGGAGGAGGAGGAGGAGAAGGAAGAGGAGGCGGAGGAGGCCCCGCGCGCCTCCCCGATGTCTCTCCTCCCTTCTCCCATACTCCTCTTGCGTGAGCCTGCACGGCAAGCGTTTTCGTGCCACCATCCGGGTCCCGTACCCGTTCACCACAGCGCGGGTTGCCGCTCCCGCCCGTTGTGACGTGACCCCGCCCTGAGACGCTTTGTCTTGGGGCATTCCTCCGATGCGGTCGCGAAGCAGACGACCTCGTCGCGTCGGCTATGTCCTCGCCACCGTCCCCCCCGCAGGCCTGGCCAAAGAAAAGGCGGGGGCGACACTGCAACACTCGGGGGCGGAAAAGAAGGGGGTGATGACTAGGGGGGGGTGGATATCATGGCGGGGGGCATGATATTTCCCCAGATTTCATGGCGCCTCTTCTTATTTCATTATGTCCCTGGCCCCCCCGTTGGGCCGCGCACATGCCGCTGGTCATGATTTGCACCCCCCCCTCTTGGACACCCCCCTCTTTGCCGCTCCCGAAACACGATGTGGGCGGGCACGTGTTGTCAGCGGCGGCGAACACGGCGTCTCCCGTTAAAGCGACGCGCTGGGGCAAAGCAGAGCTAGCTGCGCCCAGTGCAAGCAGTGGCGGGGCGAGCAGGGGGAAGGAGGGGAGCCCTCATTGGGCGCGAATTAATGGGGGGCGATAAATGAGCGGGGGACGAAAGGTGCCCTTGTCGTGCCCCAGAGGCCCCCTTCTGGGCCCTCCGGGGCTCCTTGAGGGGGGCCCCAAGGGGCCCCTTTTCGGCAGCCCTCGCTGCCCCCCCCATCCATCGCCCCCCGTTGCGCGTCCTCCGACCTTGGCAACGGTCGACGAAGGCAAAGTGGGCCTCTGTGCCAGACGGCCCGGGCGGGCACCTTTCCAGGGCCCCTTTCCGGGTGCCAAAGCAGAGGGCGCAAATACGGGCAAAGAGTCTGCCCAGGGCATCGAGAAGGCCAGCGCGCCTTCGCGCAAGCCCCTCGAAGCGACGAGGTCACGCCGGCGTGTCAGGATGCCCGCAAGGGCAGGACGCGACGTGCCAGCACGGGCAGTGCATCTCGGAACCTCGACCACCCCTGGGCCTGGGAGCACGACCAGGGATCGGTTTGAGAAAGTCGTGTCAGCCTGTCTCTCGAACCGCTCCAGGGCGAAGGTGGTGGTGGTGGTGAGGAGGAGGAGGAGGAGGAGGAGGAGGAGGAGGAGGAGGAGGGGGAGGAGGAGGAGGAGAGGAGGAGGAGGAGGAGGCGGAGGAGGAGGAGGAGGAGGAGGAGGCCCTGCGGTCGACCCCACGGCGCGCCTCCACTTTTCGGGGAGGGAGGCGGCACGGGCAGCGGAAGCGCGTCGGGCAGCAAGCGCATGAACGTTTTGGAAGCCGACCTGCGAGCTGACACTTGCCGACCTCCTCCTCCTCCTCCTCATCCTCGTCCTTCTCCTCCTCCTCCTCCCCCTCCTCCCCCTCCTCCTCCTCCTCCTCGCTCTCCTCCTCCTCCTCCTCCTCCTTCCCCAGAAGGACCCGTGTCAGTAGCGATGGGCTCGTGGGCAGTCGATTGCATCGTCGGTCGGGAGTCGGTGGGCTGCTCCGAGCGGCTCGGTTCGAATGTTGAATGGACCGCCCAAGAAGCCTCGAGTCGGGATTTGAGGATGGGTTGCAGGAGGGGCCAAGAGGCCGACGACGCCGACGACGAGGCGGAGGGGGGAAGAGGAGGGGGTGGCAGAGGAGGCGGGAGGGAGTTGGGGCAGGGGACGGGGACGAGAGAGGGAGATGGACAGGGACAGGGGGAAGGAGAGGGGGCACGGAGAGTGAGAAGGGGGAGGTGGGACCAGGACTGGGACGGTGGCATGTGAGGCAGGGTAACAGATCTGGATTCTCATTTGCGGAACGCTTACCTTGAGACCCAATGTTGGCACTGACCGGCAGAGTGAAATTCGGACGTCAGAGGCCTCGCTCAGAGAAGATTATGCCGCTGTTGGCATGGACTGAGAAACTCGGCGACCGCTTGCTGCAGTATCCGAGCCAATTTGGGATGAGAGAAGCGTTTCAGTCAATAGGCCCCCCACCCCCGATGACTTGGCGACGGGAGCCGCTGAAAACTCCTTATCCAGTTGGCTCACCGCCGACATGCTGGACTTGGCTGCTCAAGAAACTCATCGTAAGCCTGCGGCTGAATTCTGCGCGGGCCGCTGGAAACAGATGGGTGTGCATCGATCACACTTCTTGGAGCTGCAGTGGCTTATGGCCATCCCCTGTGGACATTGAAACGGTACGAGCTGGACCACAGCAGTGGCGTGGAGATGGTGGCATCTGTATAGTTGGGCCAAACCTCGAGCGCAGGCTCCCCGACATTGGCAAAGACATCCAATTTCCCTGCGCCGGTGCGAACGACATGATCAGTTGCGACCTTGAGATGGCCAGCCCTGGATCTGAGTTTAAACACCAACTGCCTAAACGCTGACCTTGCTCGCCGATCATCCAGATACCATCCTTGAGACTGAGCTCTACAGAACTGTCGTACACGCTGGTTTGCTTACTCGCCCACCGCTCCATCCGAGTCAGTAAGGCCCATCCGCTGTGGGGCAGCCTTCTCCCCGAGCCCATCATTGTCTGCCCGAACTGGCCGGGGAAGAAGCTTGACTTTACACATTGGGAAGTGAGCAAGAGGGTGAGACCACGTCTCAAGAGAGACTTCGGGGGATCCGCAGACCATACGATGACATCGTGCACCGATTCTTCAGCCGATGCTGACATACAAAGCCCCCGAGCGTCCAACGTACAGATCAAGTCTGTTGTAACAACACGTGACCTGCGAAGCTGCCGCTTGTGTGCATTGCATCGCAAGGATGAGCTCGGTGAGTTTCCGATCCAATTTCTTGCTGATCTAATGGGCCATTCCTCTGAGTGTGTTTCTGTTACCAGCTAGAATGATGCTGACTGTAGTAGCGTTCGGGGTGTTCTGGCTTTTGCTGCGTTTGGTTAAGTTCAAGGGCATCCGTACTCTGACCAGGTGGGCACCAGGAACGGATGATGTATGTTGCGATCGGCGCCTGTTCAATTAGTTTATGTCGCGAAACATCTTGCAATATGTGTTCGCCAGAGCTCGGACACCCATAATTGTTCCAGGATATCTGTGCGCTTTGGCATGGCAAGTATTGCCTGGTCAAGCAGTTTGTCGATTGCCGAACTTGTTAGCGTGTAGTCAGCCAGCCTCTGGATCATGGCAATTGCAGGAGGTTGCACATCGTGTGTTGTACCATCGGCGAGGGGGGTTCTTTGTACATTTGAGAGGGAGGAGCAGGAGGAGGAGCAGCAGCAGGAGGAGGACCATGAGAGGCCGGGGGAGGTACAGGAGAGGAAAGGCGGGGGACGACAACGATGAGGACGGACTCGGATCTAGGAATGTGGTCGCCGCTGGGGAAAACGCGCCGATTCAGACATGTGGGAGTACTGTTTGGACGGGCCGGAGACGGTTCCCCGAAATACATGAAGCATGTCGAGCTCTTGTTGGTGGAAAGCATGTGCTGTGCGGGAGAAGCGGGAGTTTGGTTGAGCAATGTTAGGGGAGAGAGAGGAGCACACGTCGATGAAGACGAGTCAAGCGGAACAGCCTCTCCCACACGCCGACAGGGTCAGCGGATTCAGGACGGCGGTCCTTCGAGTCCAGGACCAGCTTCAACCGCAAAAAACGCCTGTACTGCCACCGAGGAGGGCTCAACTGGACAAATGCACAGTCATCGCGAGAGGGACCGCCACGGGTCACGCAGTCGGAGGCGGCCCCACTCCTCCTATGGAGAGAGGGACGCGGTGTTGGCACACGGCTGGGAGATTTCTTCACTCGATCGAATTGGTCCTCGAACCAGTAAGTTTGGGCCCATGCAGATCGTGGGAACGAACGGCGAGTTTGGGCGTGGTGGAGCAGGACGATGACAGGAACAGGGGGAGTGGGGGATGAGGATCAAGAGGACGATGAGGAGGTCAAGGGAAAGGGGAACGAGTACGCCGAGGATGGTGCCTAGGACGAAATCGAAGACGGGGTCGAGGGCGAGGACGACGCCGAGGACGACCATGAAGAGAACAAGACATCGAAGGAGGACCTCGGACAGGAAAGGGAGGAGGAGAAGGAACTAGTTCCGAACGAGGAGACTGAGGAGGAAGAGGAAAAGGACATCGAGGAACTCAGAAGGTGGTGTGGGACAGAGGAGAGGCTTCGTACAACGAGAGGGGGGATCAGATGAGGGGAACGGGGCAGGGAATGGAGCAATTTTGAGGAGGAGCCTTGAGGAGGAGGTCCGAGGAGGAAGAGGAGGTCGGCTGTCTTGCTGCGCGCCCTGCCGGCAGGAGCGCCCTCAGCTGGAAGCTGACGGCGCAGGAGGCCTCCGATGGCGCGGCGGCTGTGGCGGACATGCTGGCACGGGGCCTGGAGGCTCGCCGTGCCTCTCCCAGAGGGGAAGGGAGGGTGGGGAGGGGATGGCGAGGCGCAGGGAGGGAGGGGGACGGGAGGGAGGTGAGGGAGGGGAGGGATCGGCGGCGAGGCTTGGGGGGGAAGCGAGAAGGGGCGGGCCTTCGCAGAGGGCTCGGAAGTCCCCCGGGGCCGTCTGAGGAGTCTTCCGAGCCTTCCCCGAAAGCGCAGAGAGTTTCTCAGAGGGCGCCAGGGCTCCTGAGAAGTCACGCCGCGCCTCCTGGGAGGGCCTTCTCCTCCTCGCTTCCCCCCCTCGCGCGCCGCCGAAGGGAGGGCGAGGGCGGGAGGGAGCTGGGCCGCTCGTGCCCCCCCAGCTTGCGCGCGGGCCTCGAGTGCCCGCAGTTGAAGAGCGCAGCTCGTGGAGTGCAGTTGCTGGGGCACCAGGCGACTACGGACAGCATCCCTCCTCCTCCCCCTCCTGCCCTTTCTCCTCCTCCTCCTCCGCCTCCTCCTCCTCCTCCGCCTCCTCCTCGTTCTCCTCCTCATCCTCCTCCTCCTCCTCCTCCTCCTCCTCCTCCTCCTCCTCCTCCTCCTCCCCCTCCCCCTCCATCCGCATCCCCCTTCCCTCCCTCTCTCTGTCTTCCAGGGCCGGACCTAAGCGCCGTTTTGCTGGACTCCGACCGTGCTTTGTTCTTCGTTTGGCAGGGATCAGTTGAGCGGAAGATCGGGACAAATCGGAACCAGAGATTCTGGGAGAGTTCCAGAGAAAAATACAACGCCGATTTGTGGAGCGTAGCGCGCGCATTCGCAGAAGTTCCCCAAGAGTGCTCGAGGGCTTGAGGAGCCCAAGTAACACATGGGCGCTCAATTAAACTATTGAGAGCGGGCAGAAAATCTGGTGTACACGAGCATTGTGAGCGGGTGCGCGGCTTGCACGGGGGGCACAGTAGGGTTGCGTTTCAGGGACTTGGGCGCTGGTCAAAGCGCTGATGAGGGGCCCGAGAACGCGTCACACATATTACGCCTGCGGCGCCATGGAGGCCGCATTTGCGGTTGCAGTTGGGCGGGCGGCCCGCCGCGCGCACCGTGGCGACAGTTCTCTTAGGCGCCCGCCCGCCGCCGTGGACGTAGTGGACCCTGCCAGTCTCTCGGTCGGCGCACGGCGGGTCGGCAGCCACGACGCTGGCGGCCTGAAAATGCTTCGAAAGTGTTTCTCCCCGAGCCCGGGGCTATTGTACATTTTCGGTGGCACGCGCAGCTCGGAGAAAAATCGCCTTGTCCGTCGGCGGCCAGTTGGCTGTCGTCGCGCAGAAGTGCCGGCGGATGGCGCGGTCCACACTCAGCGCAGAGAGCGTGTCCATGAGCGTGGACTCGTCGAGGGGCAGGAGGAAGGACCTCGCGGTCAGGACCATCGCGGCCCGCGATGTCCACGGCCCCCACCCTGGGCGCGCGAGGACCTGCTGGGCGCCGCCGCAGCGCGATTTCAGAGAATCTCGGAACCAGAAATCCGGGCGCGCCAAATTTCGCGGGCCGAAAAACTCTCAGAGAGTTTCGGCCGGCTCCGAGGTTTTGGGTTTATGGGAATGTTTCACGCGGGGTGGGTAGTTCAGAGATTTTCAGAGATTCTCAGAGAAGTTCGGACGCGAGAATTTGGCGCGCCCCGGTTTCTGGTTCCGTGCATCTCTGAAAAGCGGTTCCTTGGGTTTTACCGGGCCTCCAGGCGTCCTACTGTCAGCCAGAGACGAGCGACTGGCTGGCGCCGCGCCCGATGCTTCCGGAGATGCGAACTCGGTATTCGGTTCCCTGGGGCCCGCGGGCCCCTGGGCCAATCGCGAGGTTGCCGAGGCCCCCAGACGGTTGCGCGCGTTTGTCTCGGAAACCGGAGACGGGCATCCATGATGGACGCCCGCGCGCACGCGCTAGGTGTCCGCGAGATTGTTCGGTGGCGGATCTTGCATGGCGCGGGGACTTTCCAACGACTTTCCGGGGTCTTCTCTACGGTTATTTCGGCGCGCTTCGGGAACCTCGGGGCGGCGCGGGGAAGTCGCCTGGCCGCGCGCGGGATTTGTTTCCAATGCCTTCTTGGACATTATCGCGGTGTTGCGTGGCCGAAGAGGTCACTGAGTAACGCGCTGTTTGACATTTTCGTGTTTTTGTTTCGTTGCGTTGGTTGCGTGATTGTTTTGGCGGTCCGCCTCCTTGGGGCCCCCTTGGGGCCTCAAGTTTGTTTCGTTGACGTCGGGCCTTCTGGAGTGAAAGGCGCTTGGCGCTGAATTCCTCCGGGCGTGCGCGTGGCCAAATACGCGCCGTGGCTTCATCCGCGCCTGGGCGCATGTCTTCCCCCGCGAAGCCGATGGCGCCCAAGGCGTGGCAGGCCCGTGCGGCGGCGCCCCCGGTGATTTGAAAAACCGAGCATGATTTTTATCCCGGTCAAATTTTGCCCCGATCCCGGCTTCATCTTAAGGGAGGTACAGGAGAGCATGTAGAGCAAAACGAACAACAAAGCGAAAAAGACACGAAAAAACACGTTGAGGTTGTACTGGGGGGGGGCGGGAGGGGGGGAAGGGGAGGGCGACGGAGGAGGGCAGACCAGGTGGCGGGGACTCCCAGCCGTGCGGCGGAGGCCAGCTGGGGCCCCCGCGTCCTGTGGATGCCCTCCGGCCAGCGCCAGCTGCAGGAGGAGCTTCGCTCCGCCGTCGCGGCGGAGGCCCAGGACCTGCGGGAGCCGCTGCCGCAGGACCGGCGGGCCTGGCCAAAGGACCAGGGTCGAGCAGGGGGTCGCCATGAAGCAATCGGGTCCTGCTGGAGACGGGTCTTCAGGAGGAGGAGGAGAGGAGGAGGAGGAGGAGGAGGAGGAGGAGGAGGAGGAGGAGGAGGAGGAGGAGGAGGAGGAGGAGGCCTCTGGGGCGCCTCTTGGGGCACTCTTGGGGCCTACTGGGGGTTTCCTGGGGGCCTCTTGGAGGGTTTTGGGGGGCCTTTGGGGACTTCTTGGGGGCCCCCTTGGCCGTCTTAGGGCGTTCCTGGCTTGTCTGACGCAGTCGGAAGCCTTCTTGGGAGCCTGTCTGGGTCGTCTTGGGGCCCTCTTGGAGCATATCAGGGGTTCTTAGAGGCCATCTTGGGCGTCTTGGAGGCCTCTTGGGCAGTTTTGGGGCCCTCTTGGTGCCGTCTTGGGGGCCTTTTGAGCCGTCATGGGGTCATTTTGGAGGCCTCGTGGGCGATCTTTGGGGCCTCTTGGGCCGTCTTGAGCCGTCGGAATGCCGAGAAGAAGCACATGCCAAAATCTTTCAAACACCATATGACAATCAATGATTTTGGCATCTTCGTGCCCTCCTGGAAGACCTCCTGGACGCCTTTTGGGCCGTCTTGGAGGCCTCTTGGGGGCCTCTTGGGCCGTCTTGCGCCATCGTGAGGCCATCTTAGGCCGTCTTGGGTACATCTTGGGCCAGGCATCATGGGGCCATAATAGCCGTCTTGGAGGCCATGTTGGCAGTCTTGGAGGCCTCTTGGGCCCTCTTTGGGCCGTCTTGGGGGGCCCTTGGGCCGTCATGGGGCCATCTTGGAGGCCTCGTGGGCGATCTTGAAGGCCTCTTCGTCTTGAGCCGTCGGAATGCCGAAAAGAGGCATATGCCAAAATCTTTCAATAACCTAAGGACCATCAATGGTTTTGGCCTCTTCGGGCCCTCCTGGAGGACCTCTTGGAGGCCTCTTGGGCCGTGTTGGAGGCCTCTTGGGGGCTTCTTGGGCCGTCTTAGGCCATCTGGAGGCCATCTCAGGCCGTCTTGGGTGCATCTTGGGTCGTCTTGGAGGCATTTGGGGGTCATCTTTAGCCATCTTGGAGGCAGTCTTGGGCTTCTTTGAGGCCTCTGGGGCCGGCTTGGGGCCATCTCGAGGCCCTCTGGTGGCTCTCTTGGGGCTCTCTTGGGAGCCCTGGCAGGTCTCTCTGGGCCATCTTGAAGGCCATCGATATAACGTTGAGCCCCCCCCCAAAAAAGAGGCCACAATGGGGCCAACACCTGTGTAAAACCAATGATTTCGGCGCCCAGAGGGCTGGTGGGATAACGTTTAGACCCCCCCACAGAGGCCAACATGGGGCCAACACCACAGTAAAACCAATGATTATGGCGCCCAGAGGGCTGGTGGACCATTTTGCAGCCATCCCCCCAAAGAGGCCAACATGGGGCCAACACCTTAGTCAAACTAATGATTTTGGCTTCCTCGCCGAGGCCGTTTTGGACGCCCTGACAGCTCGCGAGGGGGCCGAACAAGTCCAGGGGAGGGGTTGCGTGTGGGGGTGATTTTGGCTCGGTCGTGCTCGTTATTTTTTCAACTTGCGGACGATTGGGCCTTTGTTTGGGCGCGTCAGTGTCTACACGCGTCGGCGGATTGTAAGAGCCTTTTCTGGCAACCGCGCTGCCCGCTCTTCTCTGCTCCTCATGCCGTCCCCTTCTTCCCCCACTTCCTCTGAAAGGCACTCCGACATTGCAGGCCGAGGGCGGAAGTATTGCCGTCTGCTGCGTTACTTCTTTTTGGCCTTCTCGCACTCCTTGTCCTCGTCCTCCTCGTCGTCCTTTTCTTCCTCCTCCTCATACTCCTCCTCCTCCTCCTCCTCCTCCTCCTCCTTTTCCTTTCCTACCCATGGGTAAAGGTAGGCGGTGCTCAGGAAGACGAACATCCCCACTGAGTGCTACCTCCTCCTTTTCCTCCCCCTCCTCCTCGTCCTCCTCCTCCTCCTTTTCTTCCTCCTCCTTCTCCTCCTCCTCCTCCTCCCCCTCCTCCTCTTCCTCCTCCTTCTCCTCCTCCTCCTCCTCCTCCTCCTCCTCCCCCTCCACTTCCTCCTCCACCTCCTCCGGTGGCTGCTGGGCGCCACGTCGGTTTCAAGTGCGCTGTCACCGTCGCCAGCTTGGCGTCGACGTCTACGGCGAAAACTTAGCGAAGCCAGGCACACGCTCAAGGCTTCCCGGTTTCTGCTACGTGATCACCACGGCTCGCGAGCTCCCTTGAGAGGGAAAGGTCGTGGGCGCAAGGATGGCAACAATATTGATCCTCGCTGGGCCCGCGCTGCTGTTAGGCAGTGCGTCTACACCCGCAACGACCCTCCAACGACAGGTGTTTCATGTGCGGGAGATATCGCGCAGGCAAGCCATACCCCGCAGGACCTCCAGAGCGGCAGAGCCCGACTTCCTCGCCAGCCGTTCGGAGGTTTGTCAGTCGGCCGCCGAGAGGAGGCCGCGAGCAGGAGGGTGACGATGGACCAGAGCCTGCGGATGAACTTCCCGCAGTGTCGGACTTGGTCACTCGTGCTCGCAAGGCCCTTGGAGCCTTACGTCGTTTTGGTCTGGACGATGCGAGTGCCCTCATGCTGGCTGCACGCCGCGAGTTACAACAGGCACAGGAGGCCAAGCGCGCCACGCGTACGCCAGACGATCTTTCCAGACGGTCACTGGATCGCCAGGCGCAGAAGACCAAGGAGGTCATGGGTTTGCGTGAGCAGGTTGGCGTGTTTGAGGCGAGCAACACCAAGAAGCAGGCTGGCCTGGATCAGGCCGAGAAGGGACTCGAGGCGATCAACATCCAAGTTGCTGCGGCAAGGGTTGCCGCCATGGCGTCGGCACCTCGGACAGCAGGCACGGAATGTGACAAGAGCGTTTGTGATGTCATGGAACGACTGGGCAACATGGAGGACGCAACACCGTTGGCCACACCGAGAGATGAAAGTACCGACCTGGTCTCGCTCAGCAAGCTGTTCAAGAAGTTTCGTGAGACTTGTCGCCAAGCAGCACAGTGCATCTCGAGCCCCAGCAGGAGAGCGAGCACCTGGCACATCGCACCCAAGCGATGCGGCCATCCCCTCAAAGGACCGCGGCGACAATGAGCTCGGCGACGGCCAGCCTGGGCCACCGACGCAGCCAACATATTAGAATAGACAGATTTGTGTTCACGGCGGCGTGGACATCCAGGTTCATCGCTACCACTGTTTCCCATGCGTAATGCCTTGTCAGGCGGGCGATGGGAACATGGTGATCTTTGCGTGGTATCGTGCGCAGGGTGCCGCTGAGCAGCCTATACAGCTGCCGGCAGTTTTGATCGTCACCCGGACCATCCCGATGGCGATGAATCTGCAGCAGGTACGCGCGCAAGTTTGACCACAGCGGGGTTGGGCGAGAGGTCTATATTCGAGCACGCACTGCGCAGTTTTGTAACTCGATGGTTCTTTCATCCGGTGAGGTGAGAGACTTGTTTCAAACATGGGCGTCCACAGCACATGGCTCGGCGGGACTCGCGGCGACCTCAGCGAGTTCCGCATCTGCGCGAGGCCGATCGGAAGCTGAGAGAGCGGCGAATTCGCGCGCGTTGCTTCCCAGCATTCGCCCTCTCAGGTCGCCTCGGCTGCCTTCGCATGCGCCGCGGTCGAGGGCGCCGGTGCTGCTGCGAGTCGCTCGCAAGAGACGGCCATGATGGCGCTGGCTTCTGGCTGCAACCCCGATGCATACATCGCAGGTGCTAGGAGCGGCACCGCAGCTCCCCCTGACAACGCGCGCTTAATTTGAGTAGGCGTCGCACCTCGCGACGCAAAGCCAGCTGGGCCCAAGCCGCCGCCGCGGGGGCGCAAGAGGGCCCTAAGACGGGCCCCATCGTTGCGCATCAGGTCGGGGCGGCCGCAGACGCGAGCTTTCGAGGCTCGCCCCCCGCTGTGCCAATCGATGCTGAGCGGAGCGACACTTGCATGGGCGCGCGAGGCAACTTGCCAAGGAGTGGTGCATGAATCGCGGCTGTCAGGCCTTCATCTGCTACGCCCTTTTCACATGTGCGGGGCGACCACTTGGTGGCGTCGGCCTCTTCATTCGGCAGCAGGTCTGATATGGGCCGCTCGCTGCCTTTGCGTCCGCTCACGTCATCGCCGCTGGCCGCTGCGCATGCATGATCGTGCAGACTGGGGTTCGCGAAGACATGGTTGTTGGATCATCCTACTTAGAACAAGAACCACGCTTGGAAGGCGCGAGTGCTACTCGGATCGCGCGCTTGGGTGCATGTTTCAGTTTCTGCGCCATACCCTTCGCCATTGCAGGGGGTGGGGGCGCCTCGCCCGAAACGCTTCGGGTTTCGGATATCCGTCTTCGCCCCGAACGGATGTTCCGGCATCCTCAGAAGGCGCCCGCGGAGACCCACAGTCAGGCAATTTGTCCAAGCTCGACCACTGGATGGCGAGTGACTTCCTGGCTACTACCATGCCCACCCCGCAGCGCGTCGCCGAGTTTCATTCGAGGCAGCGCTATCCAATGAGCGCCGACATTGGGCCTCGGCCGCGAAGTCAGCGAGTCCGGAGGGTCGCCGGGCCTCGAGTTCTGCCGCCCAAGCCAGCATGTCGGCGCGACGAAGCCGAGGACCAGGATGGCGAACCCCCTTCCCGCAGCGAGGGTAACCAGAGTTGTCGTGGACAGACGTCATGCTCTAAGATGCTGACTGGGGGCTTGGATGGCCTTCTGGCCATCTCACTCGTCTCGATGGCTTAGCATCCGCGCTCTACCATGGAATGGAGCGAAAGTTGCTGCCTCTTTTTCTTCTCCGCGACAAGCTTGCCGCCTTGCGTGGCTAGCGGGCCGCTGGGCCACGGCGCAAGTATGCAGCCGCAGGAGGCGCCCTGGCACGGCAGCAGCCTGCAGGATCAGAAGAACCAAGGGCATGGCGCATGCTGCAGTCGCATGCGCGCGACATTCAGATTATGCGTTATACGCAGAC